CAGCAAGTACCTTCCACAAATGCTTTTGTCTGGAGGAGACTTCTGAGACTTAAGGCTAAAATCTTTTGTTGTGCCCAGATTGTGAAGTCCCAGAAACCACCAGGAGGCCGTTTCTGATGTAAGCACACAAGGGTCGTTTATTCAAGCTTAAGCAGGGACTCTCAACTGTCACCGACACAGCGGATCGAGATTGAGAGCCCTGAGTCCCTAACTAGCAGGGTTTTTATTGAGAATACAACAAGCTTTGGTTATTAGTAGCCAGGTGATTGGTTAATACTCAATACATATGAAGTGTAGGGTTTTGGTTGGCTAGGCTTTGGGGGTCGAAGGGGATTACGTATTGGTTTTTGTGAGGGAGAAAAGGGGCAAAGATTAACGGCCGGTTGTTACATACTGATCGTTAGCAGACCCACTAATGGCCGCATCTATCTTGTGTGGACAGTCAGCTCATTAACTGCTTATCCTACAGATAGTGTGCCTGGAACGCTCTCTCCCCGGGTACACAGGCGGTTGGGTAATAAACTCAGGAATTTCAAGTGGTGAATTCCTAGTTTAAGCACAAATTTGAGAGAACAAAGGAGACGGCTCCAAAATGGAGTCATTTTGGTCCCACACTTTCCCTTCTTCATCTTCCCATTTGTGTTACTATTTCTCCTCTTCCCATTTCCCTTTTCTTCCTTTAGGCTTATATAGCAATCCTAAGAGGGTGGGAAATCCATCAAGCCAAGAAGCTTGTTGATGCCTTCTGTTGCAAGCCAGGAAATTTTTTGTCTCACCATCTGTAGGTCTTGCAGTTAGGGAGTCTTTCCAGTTAAGAGTGTGAGCTTTGGGTAAATATTCCTGACTTTTGCTATCACATATCAAGGGCACAATATGGAAGGAGACAGGCTCATCAAAGCCTGTCATGGTGACATGGTTTGGGTTCACTCTCCCCAATTCAGGGTCCAGTCCTCAGGCTGTAGGAAAACTGTTTTGATTACACTGACTCTCAGAGTGGGAATCTACTATGTGGAGTCACAATATATGTTTAATGAGATCATGAGACACATTAAAAATGCAAATCCAGAACACCAAAGTGCTTCTTTCATTCACTGGTCCTTACGATTCTTTCCAGAGAGGAACATCCTGAAAGAAACTTCTCAGTTCTTTCTATCATAAGTGGTTGTGGGGTGTGGGTATTTTATGTTAAGAAAGAACTCTCCAAGTAGTCATACTTTCCAAATTTCTTCCAGAACCTGCCTTGGATAAAACAAGGTCTATCTTGGAGTAGGGGTGAGTGTTATGTAAAATAGGAGAAGATTTAAAATTTGTTTCATGAATATTTTTTGGAAGAGTCTAGTCCTGTGTTCTGAAAAGGAAAGGAAGACATTTAAAGACAGTGAACTCTTTCAATAGTTTCTCTTTTAAAATAACGTGAGTTAAATATTGTGCTCCTCAATGCATTGGCTATTTATGGAAATTCCCTCAAACATTTGTAGATGTTTAGGGCAGGTTTTCAACTTCAGTAACTCCAGGAAACCATAAGCCCAAGCAGCCAGTAACCAACCTAGCTGAGACAGACCATGGGCAAAAGCAAACATTAGTGTCACTTGGTTAAACTCCTGAGGTGCAGGTGTGAATCTCTGTTCTCTTCTCCATATGATTCACTTACATTCGTCTCTAAGATTCCCAGAAGTCTGTGAAGCAGCTAGACCTTCAGTGAGATGATAGCTGTATGGTGGGCGTGAGTGCTGCCCACCACTTGTTAGCTATGTAAATTTAAGCATTTTAGGCTTTTCAGCATTCAGTTCCCCATTTTGTAAAAGGGATGTGGTAAAATCATTCTTTTTCATATTGCTAATGTTAGTTTTATTTCCATTTCTAATCTCAGTTTATGTTTTAAATCAATATAGAGAAGAGGACAAAAAGAAAAGGAAAAGAGATTATTGAGTACTCGTGTAAATATATGTGTTGCAATTACCCACAAGTGCATCATGGATATATGTATGTGTGTGTGTATATACATACATACATATATATATATATATATATATATATATATGTATGTATATATATATATACATACATTCATGGGGAAGGAAGAAAGTTAGAATTTATAATGTATTAAAGATTGGAAAGACTTCATCACAAAATTAATTTCTGATTCTTGAGATCACGTTATCACCCAACACACCTGCTAGGTGTCCCATTGCCTGGTGTCTGTGTACAAGGAGGATGAAGTGAGAGGTCCAGAGTAAGGGTGAGGGCAGAGAGATGGTTGATAGAAACTAAGGCAGGAGAGTCCATGAATAGATCACAGGATGCATTTGCTTAAGAGCCTAAAGCCAATTTGCAAGCCCAAGTGTCTGAGAGAAGAACCTATATGAACACCATAACCCAACACATTTTCATAGTTGTTTTTCTTGTTGTTTTTGCTACCACCAATGGACTGGACTAGAGTTTTTGCCATGCCATTTAAATTCATTGAGACTTCATTTCATCATCAATTAAATGAGAATTTGAAGACATACATTTACAAAATACATAACACATGAAAAGAAAAAAATCCCAGACTCTGATGAGTGCAGAAGAAATATTTTTGTGTTCTTATTAATTCTACTTTAACAAAGGAAACTGAAACTCAGAGAAGTGAAATTACACAAGGCCACACACTTAATTAGTAATAAAAGATAATCTAGGATCCAAATCTCTTACTAACAAGTCTAAAGCTCTTTTATTTTAATAAGATACTTCTAGTAAAGTCCTACTTTTGGGTCTGGATAACAAAAATAATGCACATGTCCTTGAATAGAGAGTTCGTGGGGAGGAAGCTCATGAAATCCAAGGAAGCAAGGTAGAAAGATGGTATTTTTAAAATCATAGGGCAGGTAGCATTTATTAAAAAGGAGCTGGCACACTCAACCATGAAATACAACTTCAAGAAAAGAAGAAGAATGTTTCAAGCCAAGGATGATGTACAAAGGCTGTGTAGCTTGCTCCTGGGGAGGAAGGAGTCCATTGCTACTGAGAAAGAGTAAAGGAATGAGAAGTGGTCAGGGAGGTTACGGAAACCCCATCTCGTAGTCTTGGATGCTACCATAAGTATCTTGCTTTTTCCTTCATTAGAACAGAGATCAATGTCACGATATGGAGGAAACTCTTAATTTAACCTGATTTATGATAATTCAATGACAATACAGAATAAATCCATTAAAATTGTCATCTTGCACTTTCAACTCAATACTGTATGTAATTATTCTGATGTTTTAGTTTAAATTGACAAAAACAGTTATATATATATTACCATGTGAAAACTCATATGAGCAACTGTTTTATTGTTTAACTTAGAAATCAGTGTTACTGATCTCTTTCAGACATTCAGAGGCATATTTTAAATTTACATAGTTTCAAGTTGGCAATATGTTTCTGAAAATTCTTTCAGTAACTATAATGACTAACATGGGTCACTTAGTGTCAGTGAAACAGTTGTGTGACCTAAAAATAAATCATTGGAATAAATTCACTATCTGTAGGTCAAAGCAACGTGGGATATAAAACAGTTAAAACAATAAATGTTGCTGGAAAATATTTGCAAAATTTTATTCATCAAATTAGGTGGAATAAAAACAATTAGATAGATATTTTTTAGTATTTGTACTTTTCTTTATTGAATATTATATTTGATTTTTCTCATTGAATATTATAACTCAAATTAACAATGGGTTGGTTGTTGGGAGTTAAAATAATAAAAATGTATTTTAATTCGAGTGCTTTAAGGATCAGACATGAATCTGTATTGGCCCACCACAAGCTGATGAGAATAATGTTTTGTTTTACAGAATATCAAATCTTGGATTTAAAGATTCGTAAAATAGTTGCACCAGTGATATCAGGTCCTCATTTCCTACTAATCCTTAGAGATAAGTGAAACATATATAACAATAAATCCTCTGTGAGAAAGGAAAGGACAATAAGAAGTGACTTTTTATAGGTGGTAGACAATGATGATGAAGACAAGAAAAAGAGCAGGAACAGGACCTTACCTTGCATGTGTCTTATTACACACACTTTTGTCATAGTGACAATAACTGTTTGATATTTTAGGGACTATTCCTCATCACGAATGGACTAGGCCAAAGGACATCATTTGGATGAAGAATTCAAATCACCCAGTATATTGAAACATACTTATCTTTTGAAAATTTTCTTTTCACCTTCAGTAATCTTCGCTTCTACTCTTTTCTTTAGAGAGAAGCCAGTTAATTGCATCTGCAAGTTCTGAGTTGGCTTTTCTAGTACCATACATGGTCTCTCGCAGGCTTAGGAGGGCCTTCTTTGACAGTGTTCACAGAGATGCTCATGGTCACCCTTGGGGAATCTGCCCTTTTCCTGCCCCATTGCTGAGAGCTAGACACCGTCAATGGACCCAAGAGGAACTCACTTGTAGGAAGGACTGGAAAAATCAAATTATTTTTGTTAAAAATCAATGAATTGATCCAAATTCTGTAGCAGATAGCAATGGACCCACAGGGTGGGGTACTGTGATACAGGATACATCTATTTGAAGTTCTGCAAATGCTCTACTTGCTTCCTCTCTGTGGTCATGGCTGCTGTTTCATTTGTCCCTGAGATCAGTGGCCTAAACATATATATTTTTTCTTGAACTACTTTAAGTTTCTGTTTCTGATCTCTATACATTTTTCTTTTTGTTTCCTCCACTAGCATTTTTCAGGCATGGAGTGAATGACAATTTGATAGGTAGTTCATCATTTCAAACTCTTTGTTTGGAACACTACATTCAAAGTAAGCATACATTCAAATCTTTTTGACAGACACATGAGGATACTGAGTTGCCAATTCAGAGTTGATTGGTAATCTGGGGTGAAAATGTTATTTCCAGATACCCTTGAAAATGCTTTTTCTACTGTATTGCATTACCTCCAAGCGTATAAAAATCGTCCACCCCATAAATATTTAAGACCAATTTGACATCTTTACCTTAAATTAATTCTTTAAGAAGTTTAATGTTTTATTTTTTCATCAGAAACCACCACAAATCTCTTCCATACTTTTCTCATTGCATTCTTCATGTCCTTATTCCGGAATGTATAAATAATAGGATTGAACAAGGGAGTTAACATGGTGCAAAATATGGCCACAACTTTATCAAAGAAGTAAACAGATGGAGGTTGTGCATACATAAATATGCACGGAACAAAAAATAAAACCACAACAGCAATGTGGGACCCACAGGTGGAGAGAGCCTTCCTCTGCCCTCCAGAACTGTGCTTCCTCAGGGAAAACAAGATGACACCATAGGACACAAGCAACATAGAGAAGATGAGGATGCAGAAAGACCCACTGTTGGCAACCACCAAAAGACGCAAGATGTGTGTGTCAGTGCAGGCAAGCTTCAATAATGGGTACAGGTCACACATGATGTGATCGATGATGTTGGGGCCACATAGTGGCAGGTGGAAAGTAAAGAAAATTTGAATCATAGAGTGTAGGAAGCCACCTATCAAGGCTACGGCCATCAGAATGCCACAGAGCCTCCAGTTCATGATGGAGGAGTAGTGCAAGGGCTTGCAAATGGCCACATAGCGGTCATAGGCCATGGCGGTGAGGACAATCACCTCTGCCCCTGCAAGGAAGTGTACACCAAAGACCTGCATCATGCAGCCTTCATAGGAGATGGTTTTCCTCTCATGGAGAGTGTCTGCAATTGTCTTTGGGGTGACAACTGAGGAGAAGCAGGCATCCAGAGATGATAAGAATACCAAGAAGAAGTACATGGGGGAGCCCAGCAGAGCAGGGCTGCATACAATTGTCACCACGATCAGCATGTTGCCCCCCATAGTTGCAAAGTAGATCAACAAAAACACCACAAATGCTATTTTCTGAACTCTTGGATTCTGTGAGAGCCCCAGGAGTACAAACTCAGTCACAACACTTTGGTTTTGCATGACTTCCAAGGAAAGGGGCAGCAGAGGCACACCAGGGAAAGAACATGTGGAATATGAAATCTAAGGAAAGAAAACTCTGTTTCAGATCATTTTGTGGTACTATCATTATCAACACTTTAGGGAGTTGTACCATTATCATGTTACCAAGTACACAAAATTGGAAATATGTTAAGGATAGTAGAGGGTGGTCAGGAAGTGATATGAAACAAAATATTAAACATTTTAAATAGTTGAATTTCAATATAGATAATAGGCATCTCCACTTGTTGTAAGGATGAGAATTAAATTTCCCCTCAAGTTCTAGCTTACATTGTTGAGTAGTGGCTTCTTCACTGAGTTCGTGAAAAGTTTCCTGAACCCTTTAAAAGTTCTGTTAATTTTGCAATGCTGCCTCTTTGTAGCCTGGGATGGGATAACTTGAACATCAATCCTGATCAAGAGACAGCCTTATCTACAAAGAGAGGACATAGCCTGGAGTTCCAATACTCTTGCAAGTCATAGCCACTCCTAAAAAAAAATCTCTTTAAAACCCTGAACTGAATTAGATCTTTACCTAAATTATCTGGGTTCTTACAAAAGAGAAAGATCCATGCAAAAGTGTCTAGCTCTGTATGTAACACATAAGGAGCAGAGACTAAATTTTGACAGTTTTCAAATTATTCCTCATTCCAAAAGTTTATAAAATGCTATTTCAGACTGTTGTCATGATGACAAAAAGAAATGATTATTCAGAATCTAACTCCTAGGAAGAAGCCTGTTCTAAGTCTTATTATAGCTACTGTTGGTGGGAAACTCATGCTTAAAGACATTAAATTCAAGCAAATGAGAGATGCTGGGCATGGAATTTTAAACATGGAACCTCTGTTCTCTAACCAATGCCTATACATAGAAGCAACAGCAAAAAATGGGGATATTTCTTTTCCAGTGAGGGGTTAGTGAGGGGTGGTTTTTCTACAGTCTCCATTCATCTGTAAACATTAAAGCTCCTGATTCTTTGCACATGGTTGAAGAGGTATTTTGCTAAAAGAAGCAGAGAAAATGGTGCAGAATATGTTCCATCTAGACAATTACTTCAAATTTTGATTTACATTTTATAAAAAATTGAAAATTGAAGAATGTGTTCTCAGCCATACATGTTACCAGTGCCTGATAATATTTTGTTAGATTGTTTGTGTGTGTACACATATGTATAGTACAATGCCTTAACTTACATTTGTGTTTATTAAGAATAAGGGGCTTATTGTGAGAGGTAAAATAACCTAATCTTATAAATGGCATTTTAAGTTTATAGAAATCATTTTAAATGTCAATGGTACTTTAAAATAAATGATTGTGTATGTCAATATCTCTCCTTTTTTTAAAACTTTAAAGCCACTATTTCCATGATTCTGTCAATGTTTTACACATTCTGAAATGACTCTTGTATTCTGAACTCAATATTCAAAGAAAAGTTCTAACCAAGAAACAAGTTTATAAAACAAACCATAAAAGGTCATTGAATCAGACATCAATATATAATCCAGCAATAGTTGGGTTAGTTCAGGACCAGAGCAAGGAAGACAAAGGAGTGAAATGTGTCAGAACATAGGCCCTAAACCCATGCAGACCTGGGTTCAAAACTAGGTTCTGATAATTTATGCTGATATTGAACAGATTACTAAAATTCTCAAAGCCTGAATTTCACTTCTGTTAGTGAGTATAGTACAATGGTCTGTCTTGATTTTTTAGAGGATCAGTCAAGAAATAGACCCAAAAACACACCATCAAAAATTCAGAAGATGTTTTTGAATAAGAACTAATATTCAGAGTCACTGTTGTACGCAGAAATGGCACTATTGTCAATTCTAATTCCTGCTTTACCATGGCCTAGATCAATAAATGTTTTTATTTTTCAACTAATATAAAATATTTTGTTTTGTCACAGTAAAGATAATTATTTTTAAATTCAAAGTACTTCTAAATGTTCTTAATAATATTTTAATAATTTTTTGTGGTCTTCATGCCACTTACATTTATACAGTACTATTTAATATGATTCTCCTGGAAATAATTTAGGTTGATAGATGGATTGATTGATTTTGACTTTGGAGAGAGAGAACAAGATAATATGTGAATGTAATAGTTAAATTATCCTTAACATCCTCACTTTCTTTATCTGGCATATTTTAAGAGTAATACAATTTTAGCATTGAAATTTTTATCAGCTGCATGCAAACCAACACTTTTGTCGGATATAAAGAATTCCCAAAACTAATGTGAAAACTTTCATAATGGAGAAAACAGTGTTCTTGTGCTTACTGATGACAAATTTAAGATTTTAGTCTTTAAAATTTTATTCTAAATGCTATGCATTCTTCTGGATTGGAAACCAGAATGCATAGAAGAGACTATCGTGTATATACTCATAAAATAAAATATGAATGAAATCTAGTTTCTACTGTTTATCACTGTTAATTTCACAAGTTCAACAATTGTAACCATGATAATATTACATGGTAATATTAGGAATAAACAAATGAAGAGTATAGAAGAACTCTTCATATTATCTTGGTAACATTTGTAATCATTTTGCTTCTCCAAATAGTTCACCCTCCAGTTATGACTGGCCTGACATATGAACAACTTGGGTTAGAACTGGAATTTTTGCTTTAACTTACTATCAAAGCCTTGAGTTATGACCTGAATGAAGGCCAGTTGTGCTTCCAGATGGTCCCAGATACAGATTTAACCCTAAACACCTTGAACAAGTGTTACCATGTCTACTTTCATGGAGAGCAAACTAAAACATGTTGGTTTGTTGAATGACACAAATGAAGCCTTTTTTATAACAAACTGTGAACATTTTCTGTGTTTAACTTTTGCTATATATATATATATATATATATATATAAAACATTCAAAACTAAAACAAGAATAGTAATAATGTTGTCAGTTACTATTTTATAACTATATTTCAATAAATTAATTTTTAAATTTTAGGTGCATTTATATGCAGATATATGAGGATATCCATCATATTTGCATATATGTTTTCTAAGTAAGTATAGCATATAAAATAAAAAGTAGACAATAATACACTCTTCTTAATTTCCCTACCTCTTGTACTTCTAAATCCAGAGTACTTTGAATTTGAAATCATTTGCTTCGAAAACAAAATCTTTATTTCTTACCTATCTAACAAAGCATATTACTCTCCTTGATGACCTGGGAATAGGTTCTCTTCAGACTTCAGTTCTTTTACTTTCCTTTTGATGTTCCTCTGCTGATTGTCTTACATATCTCAACTTTTACTGTTTCTTAAAATTAAAAAAAATCTATTTAGAAGTTATCCATTCTCTTTTGAACTTTGTCCTTTTGATGGACATATGAATATTATATTTTCTTCTAATTTAATAGTTTAATTCATTTTAAGAGAAAGACAAGTCCTGAAAACAAGCACTTAAGTAATTTAGAGCATCACTCATTTATGATTCTTTAACAATTCTGAGGGAGGAAACTAATATTAATTATGACACCAAATGAATAGAGTTAAAATCAGGAGACTCAACTCTGTGACCCAAGTCAAAATTTCTTACTTTTAATGTCCTTTCCTGTGTCACCCGCTGCTAATGTGTGGTTGTGAAAACTGTATGTTTTCTATTCTACCAGTAACTGAAAATGTTCCTGCAGTAGTTGAATTTCTTATGCTCTCATGTCAGCATTTTAGATAGACCTTCAGAATGTCCTGCTTATCAATTAAAACAACAGGGTAGATATTGTTGGAGGAAGCATTGGTAAATATATATATATATTATATACATATATAATATATATAAATATATACTTTAGAATGAATAAATAAAATGTTACTCAAGAACTAGCCCCAAAGTATGTATTAGTTGTAACTCAGCATGTAACTTGGACATGCAGTGTTGATCATAGTTATAAATTATTTAGAATGGAAGTAACAGATGTTCCTAACTAAAAGAAAAAATTTCTGCTATGGTAGCTGCTTTTGAGCACTTATCTTTCAAATGCTGCTTTAAGGATTGCAATCCAAAACTTCCTGGTACCAAAAAAGAAAAACTGCAATCAAATGCTGCTTTACGGGTGCCATATGTAATTTTTTTATTTGTTTCCACATATGTAGAGCTCAATAATATTTAATTCCTCTTCAAAATGAGGAGTCTGAGAGCCAGAAATCTCATGAAATTAGCCCATGTATACACAGTTTTCATTTTGAGGCCTAAGCATTGCATTAAACCTAGTGGCTTGACCATAATAACAACATTTTGAAGGATTACATCACGATTTGGTGTTCTCTTTGAAAATGCAAAAGTGTAAATTATACTTCTCACCATGTATCAATTCCTAAAATAGTCCAGTTGAAGTAACCTTGGATACTCTACAGAGAAAAATCCATTCAGTGTCCCAAATATGAGGCTTTCATCCAAATTTTCTTTTTTTTATCAGAGAGAGAGAGAGAGAGAACAGGAGGGAGAGAGAGAGAGAGAGGAAGAAACCTCCCTCTGCTGCACATGGGCTGTCTTTAACATGGAGTCAGGACAAAAGAAAAGCAAAAAGACTTCTTCTTAGTTTCCATCTAGAATATAAAGAAGTTTCCATGAGAGGTCATGAACCCATAGAGTTGTTTGCTCCCCTAGGGTTTGGAAATTTTCCATCCCTGTGATTTATCAAGAGGGATTTGCCAAGCTTGACTGTCTCCAGTGTTCGGAAAACTTTTCACATCTGTGGGCAATTAGCATGTTCTCTTCATTGGTTTGTCTGTTGTTTGTACTTTTCAGTTTGTGCTGGGAATAAAGATGCAATCATTTCCTGTCATGCCCAGGGATATAGCATGACATACACAGGAGATACACTCTGTATGCAGATAGAATTCAGTCTCTCTCTGTAGAATAGGGGTAAATGGCTATGCACTTACTAAAGGTAAAAGCAGATTCGAGGGATAAAGCAGCACTAACCCTTATGGGCAACATGAATTGCTTCAGAACTAGAATAGCAATGAA